CCTGGGGGGCACAGACCGGGGGGCACAGACCTCGGGGGTAGAGACCTGGGGGGCACAGACCTAGGGGGTAGAGACCTGGGGGGCACAGACTAGGGGCATAGACCTGGGGGCACAGACCTGGGGGCACACAGGCCAGGCTGGCCCGGGCCTGGGTAGAGACCCAATCCTCTGAGCAGTATGAGGGGAAACCTGCGTGGACGTCGTGAACCCCCGTGGCGTGTGTGCAGAGAGCGCGTCAGGTTGGAAACAGAAGTGGGAGCTCCGGAAAGCTGTCCACGCCCCCTCCCCTCCGCGGGCTTCACGCTGGCAGCTGGTGCAGGGCGGCAGGAGCGTCCTTCAGCAGGGCTGTGACAGTTAGAAGAGCTGCAGTTTCCCCGGGGTGGGGCTCACTGTCTGATTCTGTGAAGAAAGTCGGTAGAAATAAGGCATCGAGTGGTTTCGCTCAGGCTGTGGACGGCCCCATTATCCATCCCGGGGCCCTTGCAGGCTCCCCTCAAGCTGGTCAAGAGATGCCCACAGGGCACAGCCCCCCCCCGAGACTCAGAGGGCGGGCCACTTATTTATGGGTCTTTGCGGGTTGGGGGCCGCTTTCACTGGGGGGCTGCGGGGTGCCTGGGGCTGAGCTGAGCTGCCCTGTCTGATCGTGTCTCGTCTGTGGGCATGTGGCCTGGCCTCACCCCACAGTGAGTCCGGCAAGAGGGGCTGCACGGCCCCCAGGAGCCCCCCTCTGCCTCGGCTCGGGCCCGCCCTGCAGCGCCAGGCCCTGGGGGAGGTGGGCCGCTGAAGGGCTGCAGGGGTGCCCTGCAGTGTGGGAGGCTTCCCGCAGCGTAGGGGCACTCGGGCAGTGCTCCAGCGGGGGGGCTCGTGGCAGGCACAGGGCCTTTCTGCCACCTCACCTGGCATCCCTCTGTTCTCTCTGCAGTGAACTTGGACCACTTCCAGATTCTCCGTGCCATTGGGAAGGGCAGCTTCGGCAAGGTAAGGCCAGCCGGCAGGGGGCCGAGGCTGGACAAGGGTGTGAGCGAGGCCGGCCCCAGCTGGGTCTGTGGGCGGAGGGTGTGGGTGTGCTTCCTGCCGAGCAGGCCGGTGATGCTGGGGCCGCGGGGTGGACTGCCGGCCAGGCTCACCGCTGCTAGGGTTTCTTAGCCCAGGTCTTTGGGGGTCTTGTAGCTCAGCCAGGAGCTGAGGGTGCAGATGGCGCGGCCCCCGGGCTCTTCCAGGGCCGAGACCCTGACACCCTCACTCTCCATACCAAGGCCCATGTTGCAGCAGAACGGCTTTCCTTAGGGACAGAGCCGGCTTGAGGTCTGAGCGGGAAGCGTTTTACATAGAAGCCGCTCCTGGTTTAGTTGATGCCCAGTGTCTGGAGCCACAGTGATGCTCGGACACCATTGCTGCAGCTGGAGCCCAGAGGCCAGGCTGCACCTGTGCCCATTCCTCCAGGTCAGGCAGGGGCAGGACCCAGGTGGGCGGCCACGCTGCCCTTCTCCAGAGAGACCCTCGGAGCCCATTCTCCACTTTGCTTCGGTTTCTCTTGGCCAGATCTGACTTCCTGGTTGTCGCCTTGTCCTGCCTAGAGATGGGGGATAATTACAACTCAAAGAGGCTTAAGGAGCGCTCTGCAAAGGTTAAAATTAGCTCCCGGGACTCTGCCTTGCCAGGCCTGTTGTAGTGAATCACTTTTGAATGGACAGTTTCTTTTCAGCTCGGAGGGCTTGGCAGGTGAGGCCTTTGCACCCCTACGCCCCACACAGCTGTCTGGACGCCGTCTCTGTAAGCCCTGTAAGCCTTTTAAAGGGATTGCTGTGCTGTCAGAGCAGACTACCAGGGTATTTGAACGCTGTTAATTATCTCCATCTCATTGTATCACAGTGAGTGCTGCCTTAGGTTACCAGGCCTGGGGTAATTATAGCCAGAGCAAATTAGCCCCTTTGCACAAATCCATTGAAATGCTGTATGCATTAGGGAGAGAGCATTTTTAACGTCTCTCGGAGTCAGGAGATGACTGATGGACCTGGGCCTTTTGTTGATTGTGCAAAGATGGTCGATCCAAAGATGAGGTCCTTGGTTGGTGAGCTTGTCAGACGTTGGTGGCGGCTGAGACAGTCTCTGCCACCTGGCTTCTCCCAGGGGAGCACCGGCGTGTGGGAGGCGAGGGGGCAGGCAGGGTGGGGCTTAGGGGAAGGTGCCCCCTCCCGGAGGGGGGGAGGACACCAGCCGAGACTGGGTTTGGGAGGGATGGCTTATACAGGGAGACATGGGTGTCATACAGATGACTGGAAAATGGGCCGGGGAGGGAAGCTCTTGGGTTGAAGACTGACTGGGGTGGGCGGTGCATTGCCCTGTCCCCACCCTCATCGCCCCCCAGGCTGGGCCCCCTGCACCCCTGTGAGGGGCTTGTCCTCCCTTCAGGTGCACAGCTGGGCAGCCCGCCCGCCCCGCAGTGTCTGCAGGACCCCAGGATTCTGGCTCCTCCGACCGTTCTCGGCTCTGAAAATCCAGCTGGCCACAGGGTCCCAGGAATGGGGCTCTTCAGAGTGGGGTGACAGGAGGAAGTTTGGGGTACTGCCAGGGTTTTATCTTCAGATGCAGGTTATGGTGTAATTGGAGGGCTGCTTCCTGCTCCCTAGTTAGGCCTCCAGGGGTCTCTGGGCCGCGGTTGCCGGTGCCAGGTGCGGTTATGTGTCTGGAATGTGGGCTCTGGTCCTTCCACTGCTCTCGGTGGCTGGGCGGTGACCCCATGAGGAGGAGTGAGGAGCCGAGCCAGCTCCAGCGTGCACGGCGGGGCCACGTGCACACCCGTGTGCGCACCCGTTTACACATGGCCTTATTTCAGAGGGTGTGTGCCGGCTCAGCCATGCCCGGACGCCCAGTGAAGACCGGCTTTACGAACTGCTGGGAACCCCTCTCGGCCAAGTGGGTGTGAATGTTCAGCGGCCCCCCGCCCCCCCATGCACGGAGGCACAGTGGCCGGTGTGTGTGATGTGACCCGTCTGACCCCAGCAAGGTGGCTCCACCCTTCAGGGCAGTAGCTCCCGGAGATGGATTATCCAGATTTGCTGTATGTGGGCCTTGGATACAAGACTGGATATTGTGATTGGTTTTGTTTCCAGTTTTTTATGGTGGTAAATTACACAGCACATGGAAGGTACCATCTGAACCATGTTTAACTGCACAGCTCAGTGACATTAAGAACATCCCCACTGTCGTGCAGCCGTCACCCCACCGTCTCCAACCTGTGAAATGAAATCCTGCACCCAGCTAACACCCCCCAGCCCCTCCCAAGTTCCCAGTTCTTGGAGAAATCGTATCCCAGGGTAGAGAGCTTTGTTCTCCAAGGCACAGCGGAAGCTGGTGGTGGTCCGGCCCAGCAGCCATGAGTGGGGAGAACACAGCCCCCACTAGCCTGGGGGTGGACTGGGCTCTGTCCGCCGGCCTTCGGGGACGTCATGGCCACCTGACCCCGCGAGGAGGCTGGGACCATCCTCAGAGCAGAGGCCGGGCCGGAGTGATACTGCTGACAGGACACTTCCCGCCGCCCCCGTGCCCGGGCCCACGCGGCGCTGGCAGCTGCGAGGCTTCCCACGGCCGTGTCTGTGCAGATGTGAGCCCCCGGTGGCGGGCCTCCTTGGGGGAGGGGCAGGTGTAGTGGGACTGTGGACCTCCACCGTGATGCTCGTGGCAGCCCTCGGCCAGGCATTGTGTGTCGTACCCGGTATCTCAGACTGCAGGTGACACACGCTTAATTCAAGAGAGCGGAAAAGGGTGACAGATAAGAGCTAATGTCACCAGGGTGGGGAAGGGCAGGGGTGGGGAAGGCCCCCGAGGCAGCTGAGCTGGGCTGGGCTCCTGCCAGGGTTCATGGTCTCTGCCCACCCGGGCCCTCTCTCTCCAGCTCAGCTCTGGGTGACCTCCGAGCTCCACGGCCAGAGAGACGAGGGCTGCTGTCCTCGCACCTTGGCCTGAGATGGCCCAGGGCAGCCCTCTGATTCGCTGGTGTGACCACGTGCTCTTGCCCTGCCCCACTCACTGTAGTCGGGGCGCGGGCCATAGGGATCCACAGTGATCCATTACAAGCAGAAGGTGGGCAGGGGCCCCGGGGTGCTGCAGTCGGTCCCTGTGAGCCGGGCAGTCGCCCCCGCCTGCACAGAGCACTTGCTGGCGTAGCTGTCTTTTCCCAGCAGAAGCAGCAGCTGGCGGGGGTCGAAGACGGGGTTCATTCACAGGGGTGCGTGGAGTGGGGAGCCCGGCGGGTGGGGCTCCGGCCTCAGACCTTTGCCTTTGGGGGCCCTTCCCGGCCAGCCTCTCCCCCTCCCCTTTCCCTTCCTCCCCAGCTCCGACCCCGCTCGCTGCCCCAGGCCCGAGGCTGCCCTGGGGAACCTCAGACTGGCTCCTGGGTCAGTGTTGGGGGCACCAGCCCTGTGGACCAAGCTATAGGTCCCAGACCGCCACCTCTGCCACCTCCAGTGCACAGCCCGCCTACCCGCTGGGGCTGGCCTGCGGGGTCCTGCCTGCCTCTGCCCCAGGTTCCGGGTCTGGCTCATTAAGAACCAAACTCCCAGAGGCCTGTTCCTCCGGAATTGCTCATGGCTTAGTCTCTGCTCAGTTCATGAACACCAGGGCGGCTCCAGCCACAGGACTGAAGGGTCCCATGGTCCGGGGGGGCCCTCATAAGCATCCTGTGCTGGGGCGTCTCCTGCCCCACCCCAAGGCAGGCCCTCCTTGGTGCCCTAGAAACTTCCTTGAAAGGAGCCCACCCTCAGGGTCAGGCAGGGCTGCCCTGCATTGTTACACCCACACAGGCTGCCCCCAAGTTTCTTTCTCCCACACACCCCCCTGCCCCCTCCTGCCAGCTGTGGGTCCGCCGGGGTTGAGGCCCTACCCCGCCCCGTTCACAGCCCCTGCTTCCCTTCAATCCTTGGCTCTGAGAAGCCCCCAGCCCTGGGCCCTGAGCTGACACGGACACAGCTCTCATGAAGCTCAGCGGCCCCTCGGTGCGCAGTGAGTGCCCAGCGGGGCCTGGAGCAGAGTCCTGGGCTTCCCTGGGGCCATGTGGGGACTGTGCACGGGCAACGGGCCCCCTTGGGCGGAGGGCAGGGCCACCTCCCTGCCCTTGACTCCTCCAGCTGTGGCCTCACCGCCTGCCCTGGGGCCCAACTTGTGGGCTGTGGCACCCTTGCTTTGACCTTTCCTGGGGCCACCCTGGGGTGTGCGTCCCCCTCCTGGGCACCCGTCTCCCTGGCTGCGGCCCAGGTGAGCCTGGCGTGTGGCTGCCCTCTGGGCCCCTCGACTCGGGGCTGCCCTACCCTCCATGTGCATGGCCACGGGTCCCTGGTGCCCGGGACTTATGGGACCCCTGCTGGGGAGGGGGCCTGGGGAGCAAGGCTCTGCCTCCTTGTCTGGGGCCGTCAAAGCAACTGGAATGTCCCAGGCAGTCCTTCAGGCTCCCCTGGCCTCCAGCTGCCCAGCCCGGGGCCTGTACTCAGCGGCTCCTGGGAATCAGGGTGCTTTTCAGGTGTGATGGGCAGGAGCTCCCTGCCTCAGCTTGGGTCCCCCTAAGTTCTGTCCAGCTGGACGGTGTAGCTGCAGTTTATTCCAAGGCAGATCGTTTCAGTGGAATAATTAAGACTTGGAGAAAATTGGCTTATATTTTGTGGGTGTTGTTGATGGCCTAGCCCTCAAACGCCACCATCCACCCCACCCCCCGTGTGTGTGTGTGTGTGTGTGTGTGTGTGTGTGTGTGTGTGTGTGTGTGTGTGTG